AGAACCACCCCCCCCCCCCCCCCCCCGCCTCGCCCCCTCCCTTCCCGCCCGCCCGGTCGCCGGCCTCCGCTTCCTTTTCTTGTCTTTCGCTTCCTTTTTGTCCGAGCGCCGCTGTCCCCGCTCGTTCGCCCCCTTCTTCGCCGAGACAATGCCTCGCGGATTTTATTTTCCACCGATTTCCACAGCGAGTCCAGAAGTTCCATACCAAATCCTTCCCCTGCACCCTGCACTTCCCATCCTTCAATCGCGCTCGCCACTGAAACGCGAGCGCTATTGTTTATAGCTCGTCGCGGTAAAACGAACGCGCCTCGCGGAAGCTCCGCTCTCTCGTCCTTCTTTCCAGTGGGCAAACTCGGCTGCGCCAACGGAGGATCCGACCGTGGCTGCTCGATGTATCGCCGCATTCGATACATGACGCTTGGTGCGCACTTGACTCGTGAAGGAGGTGCGTGCGTGCGTGCGTGCACGCTGATCAAAGACCACCGTCGTCAATTCGGAGCGGAAACTCGGCGATCGCGGGGCTCGCGAGTCTGGCCCGAGTCGTGGGCCTCCGGCAGCATCTCACCGCCACGCGTCCCGATAGCGACTATCGACCGAGTCTCGGCCTCCTCGGGGGCTTCGCTATTCGCTTATTCCGAGTCTCAGGCGTATCCGCTTTCCGTACGAGCAGCTCCTGACCACAGCCGCCGACGTAAGTTTTGCGTCCACGTAAGGCGAGCGAGTCCGCGCGACATCGTATACCTGCGCGACTTTCTCGGCGAACGGATGGGGCCAAGTGAACGGGCCCAGGGGTGCCGAAATGCCAGTACGGGCTGTTGCGAAAATAGCGGTGGACGTAAGAGGGCCGACGAAGGCGCGACCGCCTCTCCGCCTCGGCGACTTTGGGTTTTCCGCGACTGGCCCCACGCGTCTATGGAAACGCGAGTCGCGTAATAGGGAAAATGAGAAACGAGCCGCGTAATCGGACGCCCTGGAACTGGTTCACGAATCCGTCGTGAATAAGCCTCGGCATCTACTTTTATTTCGTCTTTCTCTCTCTCTCTCTCTCTCTCTCTTTCATTATGTACCGCTGCGCAACGATGCCATTGCGATTACGCTATGCTCGGCCTGGCGATCGACATCGGCTATTAACCCCTTGATTCAGGAGTCCCGCTGGGGTGGCGACACCGCGAATGCGCCGTGTACACGTGAAGGTGCGCGAGGTGGTTACGTGACGTCATGCGGTCGGATGGAGCCAACGATACCGTCGAGGTAACCACCGCTGTATTACGACGAGGCGAAATTACGGTTAAGGGAATCCTGTTGGTCCAATGAATCGGAAGGTATTTCAAATTCTGTTATGCATGGCTACTATACGTTTTCAATGTGTTTTTCCGTTTTGTTATTCCAGATGATAAGGGAGTATGGATGTTGCGTCTGGTAATGCGACTGGCATCCATGGCTTTGTTAAGTCATGAATGGCTTGACGATGGCGATACGTCGTAACGTTTATGGACTCTAATTATTCTGTCTATTGGATTTTTGAATTTCGGCATTGCGTCTCCCCTCGTGTAATTCTGTACAAATACAATTACGATACTTGAAAGAATAACTCGCTTTTCCATTCTCTCTTTCTCTTTCTCTCTCTCTCTCTCTCTCTCTCTTCTATCAGCTCTTACACAATGTAGTTATTAAATAGATTATGTTTACAAAATATCAATATTATTATTTCACGTCATTATAAAGTCGTATAAAATTAAGGATGAATATCACTCGAACAAATTATAAACACAAATATCGGTTGCCCGTGCACGTAAAGTCACATATGTATTCAAGTTTAGAAACAACAAAGTAAATACTACAAATTTGTCTTTTTTTTTTCTTTTGTTTTTTTTTTTTTTTTTTTTTTTTTTTTTTTTTTTACGAATTTATTATTCAAACTGTTTATCTATTCTCTTGCGCATATACATGGGTGCGCGAGCACACACAAGCAAAGGCACAGAGAGAATGAGAGAGTGAGAGAGAGGGAGATATCGTGAGTGCGTGTAATCGTGCGTGCACGGATGTGTTGCTAAAGTTTTGAAAAATTGTTAAATAATATA